TATATATATATATATATATATATATATATATATATCAACTTATAAATGCGTTATTGATTTAAGTAGTAGTAATTGTAACTTATTTAATGATTTTTTGATATGAATGATAAATTATTACATGTGTTAGGGGATTTATTTGAAAAAAAATTATTAAATTAAGGGGAATGAATATGTACAATATATGATAAATGAATAAGTTAAGGGGAGTAATTCAGAATCTATGAAATAACTTTATATTGTAAATCTGAATTGAATATGAGATTTTTAAAAGGTATATTCTCTTATTAAAATTTGCATATAAATTTTGTTATTATCAAAAAGGGGAAGATTGTTGAATCCTACCTAAATACAAGTTTTATTAATGACAAACTCTTAGTTCCATATTTTAGTATGAAAGAGTTCTAATGCATGTGCTAAAAATTTTGTTCAAGTTTTTTAGAAATACTTATAATTGTTCAGAAGGTTGTTTGAGCTTTAGCAATCAAGAAGATTCACAAGACATATTTACATATGAATCAATTTGGTTGGACTGCTTATCAACACTAGTCTTGTCTATCCCAAGCAAGAAAGTAGGCATCTTGTGTCTGTGTTAAAAAAGATTAAAGTTAAAACATTTCTTCTTAGGAGAAATGTCTTAAAAACTTGACTCATAAGACTAACACTTTAAGTTATCTATCATAAGACTTCAATTAAAACATAGCTTCTTAGAAGACTTGTACCGAAGATTCTATTTAGAAGGTTTTAAGAGAAGACTTGCTCAAAAGGTATCTCACTTTAAAAAAAAAGCTAACAATACCACAAAAAAAAAAGCAAAATACAATGATATCAACTCTACTTAAAGAATAAGCTAGCCTCAATGGATCAATTTTCAAAGACTATAAAGGGAAGACAATAGACATGTTTTGAAGTAAGCAAGATCAAAGAGAGAAATCAAAACACAAGTTATCAAGCTGCAATCTTTGTTTCATACTCTAATTCTTTCAAAGATTTTCACTTTAGTATTTTATACCAATAATAGAAAAATAAATGTGAAATTTTCATAGTGAAATCTCCAACATAGGAGAAATAGTTGTAATCTTAATAGTTTGCAAGATTACAAAACCCATTTTTGTAAACATTATTCCTACCTAGATTTGAGTGTACAAAGGTGTAGGAAGGTAGAAAGGAATCACAACAGCTATTGTGTAATCTCATAGTAGATGGTTGTGGGATTATTTTTTCAATAGGTTGTTAAGTGAGGAAATCTCAATAGGTGGTTGAGTGTTTGCTACTGACAATAGGTGGTTATATACTAATATTCTTATATTAGTAGGTGGCTGAGTTGTGTTAAATAACAATTGACTGTGATAGAGAAAAATTCACAAGTTTGTGTGGGGACTAGATGTAGCCTAGTTGGGGTGAATCAGTATAAAATTTGTGTATAATCTCTCATTCTCTATCTTTTTACCTTTTTTATTCACTTTATTGTATCTTGCATTCTATTAATGCATAATTTATTTTGAAAATGAGAAGACTTAGAAACTATTTTCAGAAAAATATTATAAGTTTTAATACTTAGAAGATTTGTCTTCTAAAGAAAAGATTTTCATAAGAGAACTGATTTTAAATAACAAAATAATTTAACTCCTCATTCTTGTAGTACATTCACTTTAATGACCACCAACGACCCCAAAAAAATATAAAAAAAAAATGAACCAATTTTTTTTTTATTTTAAAATTACTACGAATTGTAACAACCTAAAAAAAGGGGACACTATAATCTATAGCAACCTATAGAAAAATCATTTCTTAAGCCGACCACAAATTGTTATAATTGACAACAACACCATTTTGTCGCTATTGGCTCTAATAATTTTAGTGTGGCATGTTGAATGGTCTTGCATGGCTTAACAAATTATGAAAAAAAAATGACATGTTACTAGTGGTGCCATACGCCATAGTGACACCGACATAAACATCCTTAAAGGCATAATATGTTTCAAAATAACATTCTAGTAATTAGTTTGTAAAACTATCCTATAATGGTCAAAAAGAGAGAGTAAAGAAAAGATGGAGAAAACATAAGAAATATCATGTGATTGTAAATTTTTTTGGAGTCTTACATGTCTATTATAATTGATGTGATATATTTTTATTGGAGAAACAAGAAGTGAAACATAATTTGTAAAAAAGGTGATTTTAATCCATCATTACTACCAACTTTACCATTATTATCATTATTTTTGTCATCATTATCATCATTACATAGACATATTTTTAAATTAATTGTAATAAGATAATGTATGGAAGTTTTTTAAAAAAACTAAAATTTTGAAGAAAAAACTAAAATAATGAAAATTAGTTATTGTTGTTAAATTTTTTTAAAACTTGAAATTGAAAATTACCATAAAACATTTCCTAAACATGGTTTAAACTTTGAGTCTTGTTCAAAAATACGGTCGAGATAAGAGATCCACACAAGATAATTTGTTAGATTTTCTAATAAAAATTAATCATATTAATTGATAATTCATTCTTACGTTACAAAAACAAACAAAAAACACTTAAAATAATTTATTATAAATGATAATTTTTAACTCTAAGGACAAGGTTCCCACTCACCTTACTTTCTACCAATATTTTTTTTATTTATAAAAAACTTAGTTAATTATCTTTAATAAATTTTTTTCTAATCACATTTTTTTTTAGAAAACTCGAACTCAAAATGTTACTTCAAGAGTTTGAGCTTAATTCACTTAAATCAAATACTCATTGATTTTTAAATATGTATTACTAAATAAAAAATATATCTTTCTTAATAATCTCAAACTATTTTCTTTTTAACTTTGTCTATTTATTAATTTTCTTAATTAGCGATCTACTTTAATTTAAAGTAATATTATATAACTACTTAAATAATTTATTATAAATTTAAAATATAATTTATATAATTAAATATTTATTAGATACAAAAACAAAAACTAAATACTTCTTAATTATCTATTGGCCTACACACATATATTTCAATCTCTTATAAAACTTTACTTGTCTTAAATTACTGTCATACTTTCTAACATTTTCTTTAACAAATCACCTTTTATTAATTAAATTAAAGGTTATATAAATATCATTAGTTTAAGAATAAGACTCATATTTCCAATGAAATATACGCAAAATAAGAGAACATATTAGATGTATGTTGCTATTATTTTTCTTATGTGTTATGTGTAATATTATAAATACTTAATTAAGTCCTTTATTTAGTATCGGTGAAGATAAATAAATTTAGATTTTTTTTTTCTAAATATTAATTAAGTTTGTGAGAAATGATTAAATGAAAAAGATTAATTTAAAAAAAATAGTTTAAATTATTGAAAAATTTGATATTTTTAATTAAATTAATTATTTTTCTTGAATAATGTAGTTTTGTTAAAAAAAATATTATAATTAAGGAATGAGATAATATTTTTTTAAAATATTTAAAATACTATTGCAATTAATTTTAGTTTTACTACAATAATCTCCTTAAAAAAGTTTTACTACAGTAATATTTTAAAAATTAATTATCTATTTCATTAAAGAATTATTTTCATTGCTCGTGAGAGAATTTGTATAAAATTAAATTATATTTTTATCTTTTTATTTATTTTTAATATTTAATTTAATTACATTATTTTTAAATTGTTTAATTTGATCTAGTTTTTAAAAATGTTTAATTTTTTTTTTGTTCATTCTTGGAGTATCCACTTCCGATAACAATGACTAATCTCCTCGCAAGGGAGGCATCTCAAAGGATGAGATAACTGACCCAATGTTTACACAAGGCAAGATTCAAACTCCTGATCTTACTTAAGCATAGATCAACCCCTACCGCTGAACCACATGTTTGGGGTTAAAATGTTTGATGTTATTTTTTTTTGTCTAAATTAACACTAATAATAGTAACTAAATCAAACAAAAGTATAATATTAAACATTGTTTGAGAATTAGAAAACCAAATTAAATCATTTAAAAAATAATAAGACCAAATTAGACAAAAATTTATATAATATTTTTTATTTAAATAATATTTTATTTTATTTTATTTATTTAATAATCTCTTTTATTAGATATCTCCTTTATTTTGTGATTTTTTTTAATTTTAAGTACTCAATTTATTGATATTTTGTTAAGATAAATAAAAGAATAATCAAATTTATTTAAACAAAAAAATATTAGATAAATTTTATTTAATTTAATTTTATTAAATATTTAATTTAATCTTATTATTTTTAAAATTTTCAAATTTGATCTTTAATTTTTTTTTAAAAATGTTCAATATTATTTTTTTTATCTAATCTCATTGATATTATTAATATCAATTTAAACGAAAAATATTGTTGAACATTTATTAAAAATTAAAAAAATTAAATTAAATATTTTCAAAATAATAAAATTAAATAAAACTAAAAATATAATTTAATCTCTTACTAACATGATGTAAAAAAAAAAAAAGATAAAAAGAAATTCAATGTTAAATCAAGGTTATATTCATTACCAAAAAAAATATAGAAATGAATGTTATACTATGATATGACGGAAATGTTGGTTTAGTCTTTAGTTCTCATGCGTCAGACACAACTTTGAGAAGCGAATCGCTCACTCTTGATCCGATTTCACCACCGTCGGATCTTTCTTCAGCCACCGTCTATAGCACTTCGTTGCCGTCGTCGGCGCCGGTAAACCTTTTCAGCCACCATATTCTCTTATTCTTCTTTCCTTCCTCGATTTCCGGATCTGTTACAACTGAATTGATCGAGTAGATTGTGATGTTCCCCTTTCCGATTCTTCCTTTTCTTCATTTTCACCGTTTTGCATATCTATCTGAGCTTTCTCGAAATTCGAGTCTCTTATATCAGTAACTTAACCGTGCATGTAGGTGTAGGTAGGTAGGTTTATGAAATTATGAATGAAGTGACGCTAAGATCTTGTGAAGCGTCATTAATAAGCTTCGAATTAGAAGCGGCAATGCATCTTGCAGTCGGAAAATTGCTAAATTGAAAAATTAAGAAAATTAAATAATAGTTGTTTTTAACTTTTGTTGCAATGTTGTTCAATCAGGTTTGTGCATTGCCGAATTGAATATTGTGATTTTCTGATGCAACTCTTAAATTAGGAAGGTGAATTTCTGATTAGAGTTGTGCTTGTTCGAGGCGCAGGAATTCTGAATGTTAATGGAATTGTGAACTGATGTTGAGTGGAAGAGCTATCCAATAACATGTCATGAACTACATATTCTTCTGTAATCGAAGGTTAAGCTAGCTTAAACGTACAAGGATGTTTTCTCTGTTTTATGGACTATGGAAGTACCTGTTCAGCAAGATGGAGCTTCATGTACTCATTCTGGGGATTGACAAAGCTGGCAAAACGGTAATGCATCTTTCAAATGCCATGTTTTTAACAAATTCTGAACTTTTTTGTGTTGCTCTGAATCGCTGTATGATGTGTAATTTTTAGACTTTGCTCGAGAAGATGAAGTCAATGTACTCAAATATAGAAGGCATTCCTCCTGATCGAATTATTCCAACTGTGGGATTGAATATTGGTCGCATCGAAGTGGCAAATAGTAAACTTGTGTTCTGGGACCTTGGAGGTCAGGTATGGCAATAAATAAGCAAAATTTATCTATTTAAGTCCTAGAACTAGAATTATGTTATTCAGATGAGTGTTAAGTGTAGTTTATGAGCTGCTTGTTTAAAACTCTTCCATTCTAGAAGTTCAATTACTAAATAATTGTAGTGCCACCATAATGCTATGATGTGGCAACGGCGTTTTTTGACCCCTCCACCATAAGCAATTTGTGAAGGGAGGCCCACTATGGTGGTGCAATAGACCGCAATGGTGTGTTTATTTGGCAGAATTTTGGCCTTCTGCTATATTCCAGCATCTGCCATTGATAATCTTGCATCTGCGTAGTTCCTGAAATGTAATTTTTTTTTAATATTTTTAAAATGTGATTATTGAAAAAACAAGATACCATTTTGCTTCTTGAAATCTTCTTTGGGAAAGCTATATATTGGAACTGTTACTTGAACTATGCAATTTGGACCATCAATTTTACCCTCTTCCTGTCTAAAGCTTGAGTTTATTTGTTAAATTTGACAATACCAAGGGAGATTTTGTAATTGAAAACTTGGTCCTATATGCATGGACAACTGATGCAGCAGTTCATTTTTAATTGTAAGCCGGTTGGTTGCAGGAATCGAATGTATTATTTGATGCAAAACACGTACTTGGCCCCCTTTATACTGTTTTTTTCTGCTATTTTTTTTTCGTTTTCCTTTTTATGATTTTTTTTAGTTGTTGGGGAGAGGGAGGGTATAAAATACGTATTAATATATTAATGTAAGTTCCCTTCATGTCAGCCTGGTCTTCGCTCAATCTGGGAGAAATATTATGAAGAGGCACATGCTGTAATATTTGTTATTGATGCTTCTTGTCCCTCACGCTTTGAAGATGCAAAGTCAGCACTTGGTTAGTGTTATTTGATTTTAGTGTTTGTTGTTAACTAAATAAATACTTGTTGGAGGTGCTGGCTTTCAGTTGCGATAATACTAGACATGACAAAAACATATGGTACAGTGATGATTTAATAACTGACTTGTTTTCCAGAAAAGGTGCTTCGGCATGAGGATCTACAAGGAGCCCCTCTTTTGATATTAGCAAACAAGCAGGTGAGTGTGACTACTCTTCCCATCCTATATAACCTTATAGCACACCATACACTCATAAATGTGTCAAATAATTCTAATATAATCTATTTCTGTTTGTTCTTGCTGTACATGTTCAATGTCTCATCGTTGTTTTATATCTATATACCTTGAGGCACCAGTTCTGTTTATCTGAGCACTAGGTTACGATACTGCCAGTACAAGATATGTTTCCATTCTGTTTTGGGGGATGGGAAGGAGATCAGTAAATGCTTTGTTACCAATTGCTTTATATTAGCATAGCTTTTCTGTTAACCTTCCTTTTTTTTTTTCCAATGTACAAATCAAATTACCCTCTTAGCTTTGTAGTGGAAATTTATGAGTAATATAGAACGATAGTATTCTATCTCATCCATCCTTTGAGGTTTCACCATTATTCTAGGTTCTCGGCGTCCTCATTAGTTGTCATCCTTCTCGTTGTCCTATGGCATGTGACATTCTTGTGATTACAGGATCTTCCGGAAGCAGTATCATCTGAAGAGCTTGACCGATATCTGGATTTAAAGAAGCTGGATGAAAGAGTTTACATGTTTGAAGCTGTGTCAGCATACGATGGGTATGTAGTCGCATAAACTTTCCAAAGCTTAATCTAAAGACAATCCATTATCATTTCAATTAAGATGGAGATATCTGAAGTACACGTTCTTTCACACTGTCTTTGAAGTGCAAAATAACTGTTAGGCATATATCGAAGCACAGGCACTAAAGAGATTTTCTTTTGAAATGTTGCAGGATGGGGATTAGGGAAGGTGCAGAGTGGTTGGTGGAAGTGATGGAGAGAAGCAAGAGGACTGAAATGTTAAGAGCGAGGGCAGGTGCAATGGGGCAAGGTTCCTAGAAGGGTCTTACGTTAAGCTGAAGTGATTTCTCTATTCCTTTATATAGCTTTGTAAATCCAAATTGGATTATACATGATTAAAAGTGATTGAGCAGAAAAAGGTAAAAGAATAACTTGATGTTACATCAAACTGAGCCTTGAAATTTGACGTCATGGTTTAATTTGTAGTACAGCCGTTTGATATGAGAAGCTCAGTTTCCAGTATCTCTTAGAGCAATTTTTCTTCTGACATGCTTTATATAAGCAATCGGTCAAGGGGCGCCCTGGAGGGTTTTCTGCTTCTGCCTCCGTGCGTACTTTTTGTCTACTCTATATTGTAATTTTGTACGGTTCGAATTTGAATGAATTTAATTTACTTATATCTGTAGCATTGTGTAAGCACTGCTGTGCCATATAGTATGCAAGGGACACTTGAGGTGTAGCCAAACTTTTATGGGGTCATTCTACTTGCGTTTAATTTCCCTGTGAGCGGGGCCGGAGGAAAATAACATATGTTTCGTTTAAAACAATACGGAGGAAAGAAAGAAAGAAAGAAAAGGGCCTAGAGTAGTTAGAAAGATCTTAATCTTATCATCATCAGAGGCCCTAAACTTCCCTGTGAATGTGTAAACTACCCAATTGGGATAATGATGTTTCTGACATCCTTTTGGATTGGAGCATACTTTTGAAACGGTGGGGGTGCTACTGATAAGTATAAGAGTCCCCAAAACAGATGATTTTCCTTTCCCAGGCCATGTGCAGTACACGGAAGATTCCTGAGAACTCTGCATGTAACTTATTCGACTGACCAAGTTATCATGCATAACCAGTGACTCAAGTTTCAACATGTTTGTGATTAACACCGTCAATGTTTGAAAATCAGTTGTGTTCAACTTAATTGAAATTAAAAAATTAAAAAAAACATTCCCAAGTTTTTATTTATTTTTATTAAAATATATATTTTTCTATTAAACGTGATTTTAAATTGATATCTAAATATATACTTAAATTTTAAGGAATTATTTAATAACTTCCTTTTAAGAAAATTAAATTAGTTTGAGTAAATTTTTTCAAGGACCTGATAAGTGTTTAATCAGGAATTGTAGAAGTTTAGTCTCTCCTAAAGGGGTGAATTATGGTTCAAATCTCTAATACTCGGAGAGGTAAAAAAATATATCCACAAAAAATAATAAATAAATAAATTATATCCATAAAAAACAATAAATTATATCCATGTTTGCACCGACCACATTGAAATTCTTAACATTCCTTGATGAAAACTTGTGAAGTTCGGGTCACAATACACAACAAAAATACATTTCCGTTGTATATTTCCATACGAACACACACACACAAAAAATGTATATTCATTGTATATCTTTACAAGATTTATCGAGATATACAAGGGAAATATGTATGTTTACATTGTATATCCTAACAACATACACAACAAAATATGTTTTTATGGTAGATCATAACAAGATTACAAAATCTTGTTAAGTCATGCGATGAAAACATTTTCTTCAAAGACATTTTTTATAAATAAAAAATACAAAAATAAAAAAAGGTGTGAACGGTAGAAAGAATGTGAGAATAGCGCCTTTTCTAGAATCTGATTGAGTCCAAATATAGATATTGGACCAAGTTGAATCATGAACTCCCATAAACGTCATTCTTCACTTTTCCTAAGCCCTATCTAGAAGTTGTTACCTTGACTTTCCATAAACCAATGAATTTGTTGATAGAAGGATGACGTCCCAAGTTCACAAATACACCATTCACTGTTTAAGACAAGTCATGATCTGTGTCTACTATTGCCTTTAACGGTACACAAAAATCGGAGTAAAATAAATTTGCTATTTTGAAATCAAGTTAAATAAATTCGAGTCTTGCATGTCCTTCGAACTCTATAACCTTCTTGTGCAAGATACATATACCTTCTCCGCATAGCTTCTTGTACAGTCAAAGATTAAAAAAAAAAAGAGAGAGAGAGAGAGAATAGGATGTTATTTTGATTTCAGAAAATCTAAGAAGACAATTTTCTTGGAACCGTATAAAGACATTAACATAGTAAACCCGTTAGATTTGAATTGTATGGTCCGTCATTCTATCCGATTACCAATAACATTGGCTCCCAATTGACCATGTGTTATAACAAAAACAACATCAATTGTCATAAATAACAACGCTTTCAAAATCTTAAACTAGTAAAACCTCATGAGTGACTCTTGATATATCTTCATGGAAGCGAGTACAGAAGTACACTAGCTAAATAAACATGATCATAGTACCATCGCATTTTGCAACTAATAACACCCAACAAAGGAAAGCAAGAACTAAACATGTTATTTCCTACACATGACAAATTAAACTACTGAAATAATTAAGCAAGAATCACATTCAAATTCAGCAGAAATCAGGCCTTGTTCTCTTGAGAACCGAAATGCATCCTCTCTGGTGATCCCTCAAGATCTTGATCTCAGAAGAATCCCTCAAATCCTCAAGGCTAATATACTGCTGTTTAACCATCCTTAAGGAACCACCCCCTATGTCATGAATCCAAACATAAGGGTGGCAAGTTTCATCATAGTAATAAAGCAAACTCTTCAATCCCCCACCATCATTGTCCCTCTTACCAGGCATATATGCCTTGTATATGCCTTTACTTTTCAGTCTCTTACAAGACCCTGGCTTCAATGTGTGAACCTTCTTCAATATTGATCCCACTCTTATCTGCAGCTCCACTGGTCGATCACTCATGTTCCAGATCCTTGTCCCTAATCCATAGGCGTGAGTGTGGTCATAGCAGCTACCGAAGCAACCACCAAGGCTCAAACCTCTCACTTTCCCCATGAGAACTTCTAACTTCTTCTTAGGCATCTTAAGCTTCCAACCAAGCACCAACACATGTTTTTTTGTGATATAGGAGCTTCATTTATATGTACATAACTCGCACCAAAGCATACCCTTGTTAAAGTTCAGTTCGTTAGCAACTTTTTGTTAAGAGTAAATATAGTATATACATTTATGGTATTAAAAAATTTACATAGGACCTATCGGAGTAAACCTCCCTAGAAGCAATTTTTTTTAGAGAAAAATATAAAAAAAATTGAAATAATTATGTTTCTCTATTAATTTATTTATATGCTAATTTATAGAAGTTATTTTGATTAATTTTTTCAAAATCATATTTTCAATTTATGTATAAATTAGTTTTAATTTGTAGGGAAATTTATTTTATTACT